CCACCTCCCCTCTCCTTCCCTCCTCTACGATGAAGTGGAGGAGGGGCGAGGAAGGGACAGGCTCACTTGAATCTCTTTGAGTCCTGAGCAGGAGGAGGACGCGTTCCAAGATCGTCCATGCATGTCAGAACCTGCCCTCGCTCGCTCGCTCCTTCGATCCCCTCCCTTCCCCATCTCCCTTCCGCTGCTCTTCACTTGCTACATTGTCGTACTTCACCGCACCCTCGCCCTTGGACTGCTCCCCTCTCAGCTCTGACTTGAGGTGCAGGAGAGGGATTCCTTGTCTCGCCAGAACTTCTCCCTCTCTCTCAGCCTGAAGGAGGCGCAGGCGGAGTGCGAAGGAGCGCATTCTTCCTCACTGGCTCTTAGGGGCGAGGCGCGCGAGCTCCGGGAGGAGGTTCAGTTCAAGGAGGAGGAGCTGCACAGGCTGCGAGACAGACTTGTTCGCGCAGAGGAGGAGGTGGAGAGGACAGCAGAGAAAGTGAAGAGCGTGCGACAGGACTGTCTCAAGGAGACAGAGAGCCTGAAGCAGCAGCTGCATGCCGCCCAGCAGCGAAACTTCGACTCTGCCATGATCACTTCCAAGCTGAGGTTGGAGGCGGCGCGGGGAGCAGGAGGAGCAGGAGGAGGGCTGGGTGGAAGGGAGTCGGACTCGATGCAGGAGAGCAGGAGGATCAGCGAGCTACGAGCCCTTCACAACGCCACGGTCGACAGGCTGAAGGAAGAACTCCGCCAAGTCAGAGCGAGTCTGGTGGAGAAGGAGGAGGAGGAGGAGGGAGGAAGGAGCAAGCTGTTGGTTGCCATCGATACCCTCAAGAGCTCCATGGACAAGGTGACCAAGACGAACAGAGAGAACCACAGGCAGTCGCAAGCCATCGTGCAGGTCAAACCTCTGTCATGCGCTCCCTTAATCCCCCCCCCCGCCTCTCTCTCTCTCTTTCTGCCTCCCTACCTCCCACACTACCAACTGTTTACCCTTTCATCTCATCCTCTCCTTCCCTTCCTTCTCGGCTCTCCCTGCTCTACTCCCTCCCTGGTCTTGCTCCTCCCTGCTTCTGCGTATCACCATAGCTCGTTCCGTCCCGCTCTCTCCTTCAGTTCCTACTCCTTCACTGCTCCTCCTCCCTTCTCTTCCATCCTCTCTCACACTGCCCGCCGTTCACCTTCCCTCAGGAGCTCTGCAAGAGGCCACAGGAGAACATGTTTCCTAACACCCTCGACCTTCTGCGGGGGAGCAGCAGCACAGGCTTCCCATCGCTCCTCTCCTCATCCTCCGTCGCTCCCGACAGGCTGATGGACTTCCAGGTGAGCAGGAGACTGTGGACTCGCCCTCACTTGCCCACCAGGTCAGGATGGACCGGCAGCAGGAGCTGGTGGAGAGGGTCTCGAAGGAGCTGCAGGATCTGCGCGAGGAGGCGGCGAGGAAAGGCTCCAAGAGCTCCGTCCTCTCGAGGTCCTCTGGCGACGCGCTTCATGGCAGCTGGAAATCTCCTTACCCAGCAGTCGGCATGAGAACGAACTCATGAGACTTGTCAGGGCCAGTAGCGTCCACCACGGGGCTGGGGGATATCATAACGCACCAGCTGTAAACTAGGAGCTCCCGTTGCTGAGTGAAAGCGCGGGGGAACATCGGTGTTGTTCGATTTCTTACAGTTCACTCGAGTTACATCTTGGAAGCAATACTTCATGCACAAGAGTGCTCAAACATTTCCATTACCCCGTTACCTCATTCCTGTTCTTCTTGACCTGGTTGACCTGGTGGGATGAAGCTTGCAGAGACTGTCGTGTCAGCGACAAAGGAGACATGCAATGCCATCAGGAACGAAGAAGCTGCCTCAAGTGCGACTGAAGACTGAACGATCATGTGAATTCAGAATTTGAATTTGAAGATACTTCTCCTTCCTTACTCGATCTTTCCGTCCCCTCCCTCCATCTCCATCTCTGTCTCTGTCTCTTGTCCCTGCCTCCTTCCCTCCCTGCCTCCTCCCTTCCCTTCCCTCCCTCTCTCCCTTCCTCCCTGTCTCCTCCCTTCTCCCCCTCTCCCGGCAGCCACAAGATTAGCTGCCTAGTCTGCCATGGCAGTACACCCGCTTCAGGCATATATCAGTGAACCCCGACCCGAGGGTCTTGAAGTCGGGGAACAACCTGCACGTCTCAGGGGGTGGGGTACTACAACTGGTCCAGGATAGGTGGGGTAATAATGCTTGGTGGATATATTTCATTCTGTCACTGGTAAAATTGAGGGTAGGGGTGTTGAGTGCTAAGATAACACGCTAGGGTGGGTGTATCCACTCCATGGGGTAGTAGGGAAGGAGGGTTCTTTACCTTGCGACCACAGCGTACAAAAATGTTCACACTAACAAAGACGAAGCCACGCCCTTCGCCTCTCATCTCCTTCTCTCATCTAATCTCCTTCTCTCCTCCTCTCCTCTCCTCTCCTCTCCTCTCCGGGTTATAAGATTACGAGGACAGCTGGAAGCTCACCAACACCATCTACCTCATCGTCAGCCACATATGGCGGACCTTCGGCTCCTTCATGTCGCCTACCTGACTCGGCACGTACATCGAAGTCACTATTGAGGAACTTCACATGACTACACACACATATGCAACATCTGCAGCACCTCACACGGACTGAAATGTGTGACTTCAGTGGTCCAACATGCTCCAACCGAAGACAGGATGCTCCATACTGAGCAAAGCATCGTCAGTTCTGTTATCTTCCGACAAACTGC